TAAACCGCTTAGAGAGGGCTGGAAGCCCTATGAAGCGGTATATAAGTCTAACTGCTATTGCTATTGCTATATCAACTTTTTTGGGTTGGGCAGGGGCTCCAAGGCCTTCTGCTCACAGGATCCAAACTGTGAGATTCTTACTACAAGCAGATACAGGAAGTCCTTGACATACGACCAACATTTCCACGTACGTGTACACACAGACACACACACACACACACACACACCTGGAATGTACAGGGTTTATTTAGAAAACCGAAGCGGCCTCTTGGGTCCCGCGTGTGAGAAACGCTAACTCTGCTCCCCCAAGGCGTAAAGTGTGGAGTCTCAATGATGCAGCAAGGAGCAGCGAACATGCCCCCCCCAAAAAAAGGAGGAGGAGGAAGGAAGGAAGATAGAGAGGAAGAAAGAAGGGAAAGGAAGGGAAAAGGGAAGGAAGAGAGGAGGGAAAGAAAGGAGGAAAGGAGAGAAGGGAAGGGAGGAAGGGAAGGAAAGAATGGTGGGAGAGATAGGGAGGGAAGGAAGGAAAAAGGAAGAAAAAAGAATGGAAAAGGGAAGGGAGGGAGGGGTAGAGAAAGGAGGAGGGAAAGAAAGGAGGAAAGGAGAGAAGGGAAGGGAGGAATGAAAGGGAAGGAAAGAATGGGAGGGATAGGGAAGGAAGGAGGGAGGGAAAGAAGGAAGAAAGAGAGGAAGAAAGAAAAAAAAGGGAAAGGGAAGAAAGGGAGGAAGGGGTAGGGAAAGGAGGAGGGAGGGAAACAAAGGAGGAAAGGAGAGAAGGGAAGGGAGGAAGGAGGGAGGGAGGGGAAGAAGGAAGAGAGAGGAAGGATGGGGGGGAAAGAGAAAGGGAAGGGAGGAATGGAGGGCCTCCCACCACCCTCTGCCGATGATCCCACCCTCCCAGGAAGGACAGAACCTTCCCTGGGGACCCCCAAAGAATCCAAAGGGATGCAACCCCCTATCCCCCAGTCCCCAAACACGGGAGACCCTCGTAAGGGACCCCGGCTGCTCCCAGCTGACCAGAGAGAGCCACCTGCCTCGGGGCGTTGCAGAGCGAGGAGGGGGCCACAGAGCAGGAGGCTGAGAAGAGCAAGTGGGCCCGGGGGAGGCAGCAGCCTTGCCCCTCCCTCGATGCAACAGGGAGGACCTTCAGGTGAGTGGGTGGGTTGGGGGCTTCCCCTCCCACAGCTCGCATGCGTGTGTGAGTGTGTGTTTGTGTGGCGGGAGAAGGGGAGGCAACCGAGTCCGTCGGGTGTCAAAGGCTCCCTCCCACCCTCCGCTCATGTCCTGCCTGGCGTCTTGCAGAGGCCGGGTTTGGAGAGGGGGGAGGTGTCCCAGTGCTGCCGGGGCCCCCCAACTTATTTCTTCTTCTTCGTGTTCCGCAGCCCATTGGTGGGGGCCTCTCCGGCCGGCCGGCCCTTCTCCTCCTTCCTCCGCAGCTGCCCGTTCTTCTCTGCGCCCGGCTGGTCTCCGCCACCACCAGGATCGGCCACCGCGTCAGCCGGCCGGCTCGGCTTCTGCTTGCCTCCCGTGGGGAGCCCTCCAGCCGGCAGACGGGCCCCCAGTCCTCGCAGGATGCCCACGGCCGCTGCGGTCAGGTAGAGGGACCAGATGACGGCCGGGCCGGTGTACGGCTGGAGCTGGACTCGAACCCGCTGCAGCAGGCTGGGCAGGAGAGCCTCCGGGGGGCGCTTGAGGGCGGGCTTGTCCTGGAAGGAGACCGGGGGGGGGGGAACTTCAGCAAGACAGGCTCCCAACCCCCCCAGGAGTTTTTGGGGTGACCCAGGGAGGGTGGGGGGGAGGGAGGGGGAGCCAGCGTGGGGGGAGGCTACAGGAAGTTCTCCATTTACAGCAGTTTGTTTAGTGACCGTCCAAAGAACTTACGATGCTTTCTCACACTTATGACGGTTGCAGCAGCCGCATGGATACGTGCCCCTAATTCAACCAACTTATCTTTGCAACCATGACGGTTTCCTGGGGGGGGGGGGGAGCCCCTTTTGCCACCATTGGACGAGCGAAGCCAACGGGGAAATCAGACTCACTGAACGACCGTTTTACTAACCTAACGACTGCAATGATTTGCTTAACAACCGGGGCAAGAAAGGTCGTAAAGTGGAGCGGAACTCACTTATTTTTGCAATGAAAATTTTGGCCTCAATGGTCGTATGCCGAGGACCGCCTGTAATTTGGGGTGGGGGGGCTGCACAACTGCAAAATTCCCCTTATTAAAATATTGATGTTGGAAATATTTTATGTCTTTAGTTTTGGCCGGTTAAACCGCCCCTCCCCCCCCTTTCCTACTCCAGATGGGGCCGATGTAACCATCCACACACACACCCTCCATGAAGCTGGCTGCTCCCCGCAACCACAATACCCATGCTCCTCACCTTGAGCCCGTGCTGGGCCAGCTGGGCTTCTAGGTTGGGGTCGCCCAGAAAGACCACTGGGTAGAATTCCTCCATCCATCGACGACGCCACCATTTTTGAGGGAGGGTCCTGCAGGGAGGAAATGGGGAGGGGGAGGAGTGAAGCTGGATGCACTGGCGGCCCCCCAACTCCCTCTGATGTGGGGTGGGGGCTACAGTTCCTCCCCCCCCCCCCGGGTCTGGCTGGGGGAGCCAGGAGGCAGGGAGAATATTTCATAGCTCTAATTGGTTTGATTGGCCTTAATTGGCCTTTCTCAATGGGGGAGTGGGGGAAACATTTTCCTGGATTCAAGATTTCCTACTCCCACCCCCGCATCCCCCCCCTCCCATCCCTCACCCGTCCATCTCGGCCTCCGTGAACCAGTATTTGTACAGCTGCGCCCGGATGTAGGTGGGTGGGTGGTCCCGGAAGGGGTACTTGGAGTCGTCTGCCTGTATAAGGTGGATCACTGCAGGGGAATTGGGGAGGGGGGGAAGCGGTCAGTTGGTCAGCTGGAAGAAGGAAAATTGGGGGTCCCCTGCCCTCTGCCCTCCCCTGACATCCCCCATCATCCTGGGGATGGTTACAGGAGACTCCCATTGGAGACCCCCCTCCCCAGGCCGGAGGACCCCTCCTCGCTCTTCCCCTCCAACAGCTTTATCCAGATGTCGCCTTCCGGAAGGCATCCCCGTCGTTCTCCAGAATGAGAAGTTGGACTGCCGTCCGTCCCATGGGCAAAGAGGCAGTGCCTGCAGGGGGTCCTCTGGGGCCCAATCCCACCGCCCTCAGCCCCCTTTCTCGGGCCGTTCCCATCCCCCACTGTCCTGGTCTCTGAACTGCGCTACCTTTATGGTCCAGGGGGTCTCTCTGGGACCCTGAGAACAGGGCTTGGAAGGGGGGGAGGAAGGAAGGAAGGAAGGAGAGGGAAGGAGGAGGGAAGAAGGAAGGGGGAGGGAAGGGGCGAAGGAGGAAAGAGAAAGGAAAGTGGGAGGGAGGAGAAACATGGAGGGAGGAAAGGAGGGGGGGAAGGGAGAAGGAGAAAAAAGAAGGAAGGAAGGAGAAAGAGGGAAGGAGGAGAAAGACGCAGGGAGGGAGGAGGAGAAAGGAGGACGGAAGAAGGAAGGAAGGTGGGCGTGAGGGGGGAAAGGAGGAAGGAGAAAGAGGNTCATTGTTGAGGTCCAGCCCCGACTGAAATAAATGTATCTGTGTCGTTTTTAACTTGTCTTATTTTATTTTTAACTTCTTTTATTTTCTTTCTCTTCCCTTCTGTAAACCGCCCGGAGTCCTTCGGGATTGGGCGGCCTATAAATAAAATCAAACCTACAAACTCAAACTTATCTCCTGACTGCATCCCACGGATTGAGTTTTGCTCATTCGCATGGACCGGTTTCTGGCACGCTGTGGCCCAGTGGAAGCCTGTAAACCGGGGGTTGGAGACCCCCCCGCACTAACCATTTCTAGCATCACTTGATTTTTCCAGGAAATTTGGAGTCATGAGTTAAATCCGAAGTAAATCGGGCATAATCTTGTGGTTTTTAGCTTCTGGTTTTATATAATTCAGCACCTCCGCTATAGATGTCCATGGCACAGGCAATCCTCAACTTAAAACTAAGTCCAAAATGTATGTCATTTAGGGGTGGGGGGGATTTGTTAAGTGAGTTTTACCCCGCTTTACGACCTTTCTCGCCACAGTTGTTAAGTTGGAACACTGCGACCAGCATAAATGTGAGTCGGTTGTGACGTGGCCATGGGTCGTAAGTGTGAAAAACGTTCATGTCACTTTTTTCAGTGCCGTTGTTACTTTGGTCACTAAACAAACTGTTCTAAGTCAAGGGCTACCTGTACTCTGTGCCACAAGGTCCAAGGTGCGAATTCTCCAATGCTTTTTCATGCCTTTCTAAAGTGGCTCATTTCACCCACGCTGACTCAGGAGTTTTATCTCAGTATGAATAAACTGCTGATCAAAAATTGAGAGCCAAGGTGGCGCAGTGGTTAAATGCAGCACTGCAGGCTACTTCAGCTGACTGCATTTCAGCAGTTCGGCTGTTCAAATCCCACCGGCTCAGGGTTGACTCAGCCTTCCATCCTTCCGAGGTGGGTGAAATGAGGACCCGGATTGTTGTTGGGG